CCTGTGTTTCTGAGGTCGGCGATGTCTTTGTTTTTTCTTTATACGTACAAATCCTCCCCTTTGTCCCCTTCTTTTATATCGTTTTAATATAGTGGTAACCACATCTCCAAGGGATGAGGTACCCACCCCTATATGTCCACTCCCTACTCTGGCTTCTCCCCAGTATACCATATTCCTTAATCGGCAAAAATATCGTCGAGTTTCCTAGTTACTCTTCTCTGCACTTCGTGTTTGACAGCTCTTTTTACTCCTCTCTTCACCCCTCTAGGAAATTCTGACAAAGATCGTTGCGTGAACGTCCTTTTAAGGCCTCTCCCCTTTTCGCGCGCGACATCTTTCACCATGTCTTTGATACCAGCCCCCACTTGAAATTCCGGACCCCAACTCCCTATGAAAGGAGGGGGACGTGCTGGCCATCGATGAATAGATCCCCCTTTCTGGTCGGCGGGAACGTACACTTGAAACCTCCGTAAAGATCCACCCCTCATGATGTCACCAATTACTTTAAATCTTTTTTGTAAATCCAACTATTATTTTTACTAGGGTATCCTTTCCACTTGACAAATAATTTATCTTTCACCCGTTTTAATACTTTCTCCACGCGAAAATACATTGTTGCATCCACGTTTACTTTTTGCAAATCCCACGAATAGAGGCTCCCTTGTAAAGGCGTTTCGTCTAATTCTCGCACTTTGAAGGTAGTGACTTTTCCGGTAACGACTTTACGAATTTCAAACACTTCTTCTGTCCAACCCGGTAAATAACTCTTTTTAAACGTACGAAATTTCTTATTCAGCCACACTTTATCGCCCACTTTAAATAGAGGTTTCTTGCGCGCCTTTAAGTCGCCGTATAGCGATTCCCACACTTGAATTTTATTCTCTTCAGACACTTTGATGGGGGTCGTGCCTATGCTGCGATGAAAGGTACGGTTATGTTGCGAGAGTAATTTGGGTAGGACATCGGTATATTTCAACGTATTGGCAGCTGTGAAATAGCGATACAGTTTGGATTTTAAAGTACGAATGAATCGTTCGGCAATACTCGCTTTTGCATCTCCGTGCGTGGAAAAATGGTGAATACCTTGCGAGTGAATACCTTGCGAGCCAGGTTTGAAAGGTCTTGTTATAAAATTCTTTGCCCGCATCCGTTTGTAATTTCTGGGGTTTCCTACCTTGTTTTACGATTTTAGTAAACGCTTCCGTCACCTCTTTCCCCGTTTTCTTTTTAAGGGGCACTGCCCACGCATATTTAGAAAACGCATCAACCACGACCAAAATGTATCGGAATCCTTTATTTTCTCTGACAATTGTCTGTACTTCCAACAAATCGGCTGCCCATTGTTCGTCAAGATCAAAGACTAACACAGGTGCAAACTCTCCTCGGCGGCGACACGGTTTGTGTAGGGTGTAAGCTAAATTATTTTTGCAATTTTTTTTTTGCTCGAGATAGGGATATGTTTTGCGCTTTGGCATACGGCTGGATACCTCCTAAACTCCCAATATGTCCAGGTGATTCGTATTCATGGCGTTCAGTTTTTGTCTTGGGCATCGCATTCCGTAATAGGATTTGAGAAGTAATATCGTCACCCACACTTTGACGCAGTAGTAAGTCATCCAATACCTGCAAAGGTACTGCGAGTACAGTTCACGATAGCCTCTATATGTATATTTCCCCCGATACCACCTCATGAATAACATCAAGTGAAACACTCTTTGCGATATGGGGATGGTAGAAGGTCTCACTACGTACTTGAACAAGGTAAGTTCGCATCCAGGAGGAATCCAATCATACAGTACGCGACTGTGTTCAGACGAGTAGACGATATTCTCTATCCTCCGACAAAAGAAGGAGAGTAAAGAGTAATGAGCGTAAAGTAGTTTCGACCACAGAGACCTGGTAAACACTGATGAAATTTATCAGCTTCTTTTCTTGTAATGTTTCACATCATCGAAGATTCCTTTCAAAGCTTGTTTTCCTACTAGCATTCCTGGGCTACCAAATCCGGGGGTGGGACCAGATAAAAACATACTGGCTGTATAAGCTATCTTATCGGTGAGTGAAGAGCCTTTTCTAAACCATTGATTGACTTTTCTAATAGAAGCTCCTCTCGTTGTTCTTTCTTAGCTCTCCTTCTTCTTCTGCGTTTCACCATGATTGGAATAAAAATGACAGACAACTCTTTACACCACTCATTTTAATTATTATTATTTTTGTCAAACAACACCTAGATTGGAATGACTTTGGCTGATAGTAGCTACGTGATATGAAATGTAGGTATTAAAGAATGTAAGGTGTGACCAGTCTCTAGAGATGATATGATTGGTCGGACGTGACTCGAGTAGATGTAAAAGCGGTGACATGAACGAGTGTGTGCATTTCGAGTGTAGCAGTCAGGCGAGATGGAGACTCTTAAAAGCAGCAGCAGGGATAACTTTCGCTCCGACGAAGGGCTAAGGCTCGAAACGTCAGCTTTTGTAATCGTTACGGTGGCCAATTTATCACTTATATCCAAATTATTTTGTTACTCCCACCGACGCAGCCTGAAACAGTTTCTTTCGAAAACTATCAGCCTTTATTCAGCAGTGATAACAGTTTGGTGGGTGCGAGTAGCGGAGGAAAGTCACCCAAGAAAATGCAGAAAGATCGACCACAACCTTCTAAGAAGAAAGAAACCAAGAAAGCAGCCATGGATAAACTGAAGAAATCCATTTTCCTACCCGAATTACCGGTGAAAGAGCCACCCAAACTGATAGCACCAAAGATAGTGCCCGATGGGCCGTGGAAATATTCTGAACCTCAGCCTACTACTACTACTACTACTAGTACTACTACTACTATTACTACTAGGAAACAAGAAGACACAGAAACTGACACAGAGCCGGGAGAAATTGCTGTCAGCAGTGAATGTACCATGGATGCTTTTTTGCGTGAAGTTCTTGACGAAGCAATCATATCGTATCCCTGCCCCATTCACAATACTCCGATGGAAGAGTTAAAAGCCAAAGATCCTACATCTTCGGCCGTGTATTTGCGATGTGCGGAACTCAATTGCCCCGTATTTACAAATCTAAATGATTATAGCGTGTATTATTACGAATGTAGAAAACAGGGGCATAGGTGGTACACTCTGGATAGGATTCACACTATGCAATGTGAATGCGGTGTAGCCCCGTCACTAAGTCTGTCAGAATCGGAGCACAATTTTCACAAAATTAATTTGAGATGTATAGAAAATGTGTGCGGTCTGTTTACATTTTGGAGAATTCATCCTAGAAAGAAAACCATGGGAATTTTTAATGGATTGTAAAGAAAATGTAGGCTGACAAGGGTTGTAAGGAGTGTTACCTTTTTTTGCTAGATGAAAGAGATGATGAAGAGTTGGTAGAAGCGCATAACCGAACTGTTGGATGGGTAGCGCAATTGTGCGGTCCTAAGTGTAAAAGTGTTTCCATTAAAATCGACCCTTAGAAAGAATCCTTTGTTTTTCTTATATTTGTAGCATTCTTTTCCAAGGAGGACATTTTTGAAATAGCACGTCTGTGAGGAATAGTGAAATTTAAGTTACTAGCGGAAAGACTTGCAGTGAGCTAAAGAATTAGAATGTATCCAATCAGATTTAGAAATGATGGAATACTATGCTGACAAATAAAAATAATGTGTGTGTGTGTATTTGGGTGTCATTTTTATATGTAAGATTATCGTTGCGCGGATTTTTTTTTATGTGAACTGATAAAATTCCCCACCAGTCTGCTACAAAAGTAAGAATAGGTATTTAAATAAAAAGGAAGTGTGTGATTATTGTGTGTGTGTATCCAATCATTTTATTCCATTTTTCCCCCTTACGTCAGCATACATAGAATTACCTTTTAAACACACGGTCGCGCACCCGATACACTCATTTTGACCTAAACCTCGGATGAGTTGCAATCCTCTCCTCAACACTAGAAAGAAAAGACGGCGATATCGCAGAAAGGCTTCTGTAAATTCTAAATTAGATTCATTTGATGTCGTATCACCGATCGATATTCCCGCCATGGATGCGCATGTGGCCACACACGTCAAACACGACACATATGTCATAGACTCCCCCCATAGTTCCCACGTAAAAAAAGAGCTTGGGGCGGACGCCCCAAGTCCGGATCCGGAGGCGCGAAACAGGAGCAGGACAAGGAAAGGCAGAAAAAAATGGATGAAAGCATAAAAAGTTATGCAGACATCTCCGAGGGTGACTTTGAAGCGCATGTGTACAAAGTGTTGACGGAAGCTGCCAAACAACAAGCGGAAGAGGAAGAAGCCAAGATTCGCATCATCAAGTTTTTGGTGGAAAAAGTACGAGAAACCGAAGCGACCCTAGAAGCCATGAAAATGTCAGAATCCATACTTATAAAAAAACAGGAGATGGGCAACTTTTAAAAAAATAATAAAAGTTGTTTAATATTTACATGGTCTATTTACATGTGTCTGTCTATCTGTCCACCCGATTTGTCATTTCTGCTCAAAACGATCTATGTACAAATTCTTTTGTAGCCGTATGGAAAGCTTTTTCCCTCCCCTATCACCGCTTATCAAACACTAATTTTGTTTGATGTTCTGTCCGTATTCTTTTGACGACTGGGTCTCTGACAAAATGCACAGGATTGTGCACATGAGTGACCACGTGACGGTGATCTATCAGTTCTTGTAGAACACTGTCTTTTAATACTTCAAAACTCAGTTGTTTTCTGCCCCTGACGTTAAGCTAAAAGACTTTGACTTTTGTGCAAATTTTTCCGAGATGGATGCGATACCCATAAGTTTTTGCTCCTGCACTCACAAATTCCTCGATCCAGTCCCCCTCGTCCTGGTTTCCATCGGTAGACGACAGAGTCCGTGTCATAGTAAAGCACTTGCTCTTGGACTGATTCTAACGATTCGTACAATTTCAATCTGGCCATGGCTGTCCTAGAGGCTGCAATAAAAATATTAGTAGTCATGCCTTTGAGTGGATCGGAGGCGTCTCACTGGTACACCACTTCGACAATTTCCGGCGACAAAATTCGAATGTCTTGCACATTGACTAAAGGGTCGTCGAGTATCTCTAGCAAATCACGGACTTCGGTCAATTGTTCCGTTTGAGATTTGTTGGTTTGTTGACCAAATTTCCCCCAAAAGGAATTCAACATCAGCTTTGCCACTGCTTTTCGTCCGGGATTTTTGGTGATTTTGGTAGGGTCTAGCTCAATTCCTTCTTTTGGCCTGTAGTCGTCGACATAATGGACGCGATCTGAGTTGTCTTGACACCAGGCAGAATATCCAGCACTCTCCTGTTTTATTTTGAGCCACGTGTTCACGTATGGCGCAAACAATCCTTGCTGTGATTCATCAAAATGCCATACGTTATGTATGCGTAGTACTCTATACCCAAGTGCTATGACTTTATTTAATTCGGGCGAACACCAGGTGCCTCGCAAACATCGCTCGGTGTCTGTGTGAGTGCATGAAAAGGATCTTGCCAGTATGGGTTTGGCACTTTCCTCTTCCACACACTTGGCGCATATGGGGAAGGTCAACTTGTACGAACCAGAACTCATCTTGCGCCTGTATGGTAAGACGGGATGAAACAACTCGGCGGGAGGTAGCATGTCGACTTTTAACAGACCATAGTAGACTGAGGGATCTTGATTTTCTGGTTCGGACAAGATGACGGGATGACCCACCGAATATAGACCATTCTTATTCACCCATGGATATTCGTTAGTCACATCGACGTAGCGAATCTGCTCGCGGTCGTCTGACACTCGATGATGAGGCGCCACGGCCCCAGTTCTCCCCCCAAAGAATGCATCGCGTGGCTCTAGCGGTGATACGAGATTCAAATTGGAGACAAAGTGGCGGCATTCCCCATCTTGTTTTTTCAGAGCATCAAATTGACATTCCCACATCTCTACCACTGTATATCCAGCGTCACGCAACGCTTTCACTTTCTTCTGTGTGCGTCTTCGTAACGCTTTCACTGTGAGTCCCATGGCCCTGTGTGGTACTTGTTTTCTGCCTGGGAAACAGGTACGACACCCGTGAAACAAACAGCCCTGAAACTCAAAGCAAGTGCGGGAATCATGGTGATATCCATCGACGTGATGAGTGATGGATGCCACACGGATGCCCATTTCCCTCCATTTCTTGCGTGACGGATGCGAATTCCACGCTGCCTCTCTTCCCATAACAACCACTCTAGTGATTTCAATGAATGTATGGGACGCGAACCATGCTACCCACTGCACGGCTCCAAGACAATGCTCTCCTCCTCCATCACGCACTTTCGCCAGTAGCGATTACAAGCTTGTGCAGTCGTGACACATTTTTCTAAAGGGTCACAACCAGCCACCGCTCGAAACTCAGCCACAAATGTTTTACACCCCGCTTTGAATAACTTGACATCTGACCCACAGTACTCAATCAGTTCACGTTTTAGGTCATATACCAGCTGACGGGAAGATTCTTCTTGGTACCATTCCTCAAATTCCGCCATTTTCTTTTCGGACATGGATTCGGGGTCAAAATAATTGCGGTCAGGTAATGCGCCCACATAATCAGCATTTTCAGGAGTGTGGGAGGTATGCGGGAAGAACCCTTTCTTGATTTCTTCTACTCCAAACGTACTGGAAGATTGAGCGAGCGAAGATGGGATGAAACAGAAGGAATCTTTAAATTGAACTCTGCCATAGGAAAGAGACAACTGTTTTGTGCCGTTAGGTATCATAAAATCAAATTTACGATGTTCTTTTAAGAGTTGTGCTTGTAAAAAGACAATATCGTAGCCTTTCAAACTATGAAATATGCAGATGACATCGCGATTCTCTGCTTTAGGGATGGGTTGAGTGGCTGTACCATAGATGAGGGAATCTAGAAAATCTAAAAATTCCCCAGTGCATTCTGGGCCATAGAAGGTGTGGCACTCGTCCGAGTCTCCCGTCTCGGCGCGGACAAGGATGGGAGTATGGGTTCCATCAGACTGGATGATTGCCTCAAAATCTGCTACACAAAAATGGGCGGCTGACATGGGGGTTTTTCTGTTTCTGTTTTTTGTAAAGGGAGGCTGGCTTTTTAACGGGGAGATCTTCTCCCTCTTGCACGCTATGGATGTAACACCGATGTGTTGTTAAATCCACGTCCTCTCGATATGCGCGACATCGCCCAGTATAAGATTCGTGAGGGTCGTCGGAAGGCGTATACTCTTTGCGGCAAAGTTCGCAGCGAACCCAGCTCTTGCAAATTCCTTCCTCGTGATGGAGAGCCATACATCTGTCATCGTAAAAGTGCCGATGGCAATGCTGACAATGGATGATAGGTTGATGGGGTTTAGAACCACACGCCACTTGTTTACATGCTTTACAGCGACGCCCATCACAGGGATGATTGCTGAAATCTTCGTGATCGTAACCACGGTTACACATATCGCAAAAATAAGATTTTTCTAGGAAGGCCTGGTAGGATTTACACCCATGGTAATGCCCGATGTCTGAGTTCCCTACAGGAGGCACGTACAACAATCGCACAATGTGTTGAGGTGGTTCTGTCACTCGACCTTCGAATAACACACCATAGGGGTAGCAGGCTGTGATCACTCTCAGTTGGTACTGCGGCGCCAAATAAGCTTGGAAAGCTGCTAATTCTGACTTTCCACATGGTCCTTCAGGCACACCAGCTTCTCGATGTAACATGCGTGCATGTTTTGTAAGTCTTTTAGGGTGTTTTCGTAAATTGTCATATCGTCGCCTCGCTGCATGATCTGTGGGACAGTCAAATGTGTCGCACGCCGAATTCGTCAACCAAATAGCGCGAGCGCAAGACATCTCATCTTTGTTGGACACTTCTAATACACTGCGGCGGTCGTGTAGTACGGTCGCGAGCCTCTTGCGCCCCAACCATCGCTCCCATTTAGCCCCTACATTTTCTCTACCATCACCACCCCCACGAGCCACCAGAGTCGCATCGACGTCAATGGGGTCGTCGGCCTCAAACGATTCATTACTGTTTAACTGGTTCGCCAATACTTGCAAATATCCGTTCCAGCTGTCGCTTCCCTCACGCACTTCTCCCACACGAAAATAGGATGACTGGAGAGGGTGTTGAAACCGAGGGGTAGAGAAATTAAAAAGAACTTGGTCCTCATCGTTGACGCCATGCGGCCATCGTCTCCCCGCATCCTCTAAAATCCTGTCCAGAATCCGCGACACTGCCTCCGTGATTTCACGGCCTAACTTTTCTCCCGCCCTTGCATCCCGAAGCTGCTTTTTTCCCGTCCTTACACGCTGTTTTAACAGTGTGTTTTTAAATTTTGCAGGCTCCCCAATGGGATATTATTCAAGATTAAATAGTGGTGTACCTGAGCCTCTCTGTCCTTGATCGGTCATGCGAAGAAGCTCTTCATCGTTTACATCATCATACATCTCCCAAGATCCATACATCACACAAGATCTTCATCACTGACATCATCATTCCACGAATCTTCACTCCACGCTCTTTTTCTGCCTACTATTTTTAAAACTCTCACTCCGATTTCCTACTACTACTGTTCTCCTACACAATCTCTACCAACTGCGAACGTGATGAGATGTAGTACTCATTATATGTCGGTTCCACGCATATTTGAGTGTGGTCACTAACTCCTTACTATTCATCTTTTCTCTAGAGATTAACGACACCTTGAATTCTTTTCATTCCTTATTACACACATATAGTTTTTTAATTGCATTTAAAATCACGTTTTCATGACATACTTTTTAATGCGACTTATCTTGTCATTCGAAATAAATGTTCTGGAAAATTTTCATCATTTTTCATCTTTATTCACCTCTTGATTTCCACTTTGCTGTTCAAGTTGTTTTAAATGTTTTTTATAGGCTCGCACTCTTAAAGTCCAAAATGCTACTGATTCTTTATGCGACTGTGTTGGATTAAACACATCATACGGTTTATCTTTACGTAATTTCCAGAGAAGATCTTCATACTCCTGTTCTTTCTTCTCCTGTTCTATCCGCAGTCGCTCTCTCTCTAAACATTCTGTTCGCTCTTGCTCTGTTTCCATGCTATGTGTGTGTGCTTTCACAAGACGAAATGATATCTAGTCCGAAACTTCAGCCTCTTTATCCCATTCGTGACTGTCAAATATGTGCTCTACGTAATTATAAATAGATTTCATGATTTCGTTTCTGTGTAATTGAAATGTGTCGTCGTATGTAAGTTTTTCGTTTGGATATGTTTTCTTTGAATCTCTAACCACCTTATCGAAATTATGCGGTTTCATATAAGCGCGAGCGTGACGCATCATTCTCCTTAAAGAATCCTCTTCGGCAAGCGAAATGATATCCAAAATACTTTCAATCTCCAACACAGATACTTTTGGATTGTCCACAATGTAATTCTGTCTTTCTACCGTAGTCATGGACATCCTTCTCGTCTGAAAGTTCACGTTCGGCTACCACTTTTGTATATTCCAACACGCTTTAAATATCTCGTTTCTCTTTTCAACTATGTCACGGGTTTCGTAGTCCTCTAGCGGTTGTTCAGCGTCGTGAAGGTACTAGTCTACTCTGTTTACAATTCGCTGTAATGTATCGGTGTCTGCAGATCTAGCAATGCTTTCCAAGCTATCGTTCATGACACTGAGAGCGAGCTTGGGAAGAATCATAATTTCACTACAAAATTACGACCTCTTGAAGGTACAACATTAACACTCGCGCGGGATTTTCATCCTATATTAAGCTTTAAAAGTGACCACTTTTCTCTCATACGCATGCGTAAAGTTTTTGAGCATGCGCAGACACTTTTTGTCATCCCGTCCCACATGGATGAGACATTTATGACGGTTTCATATATATACTCTTACCTACTCTTGCTCTTAATAACTACTCACTGATCACAACTTCGGCTCATCATTCAATATTCGGCTCAATACTTCGGCTACTCAATACTTTGACTACTCAATACTTCGACTCTACTTCGGATCACTCCGCCCCAAGCTTGACCGGATCGATTTTTAATTTATTCGTGATTTTTAATTTATTTATAACTTATTCGTGATGCTTACATGAAGGAGTACGTTACAGACGAGGTTTACTACTACTGAGTAGTTAGGTGACTAATGACTGACTGGCTGAGTGAAAGATTTATTGACGCAATGGTACTTGACTGGCTAAGTGTTTTGCTAACCGACTGCAGACTGACTGGCTGACCCGCTGCTTGACTGACTGGATTCTTAAATGCTTGAGTGACTCACTTATACTTGACTTATACTTGACTTACACTTATACTTATCACTCTCTGGCCAAGTTTCGCAGGAAACATCGGGTATCCAGCAAATTTTAGAATTTTCTTAAAGATTTTAATACAATCTATTGAAAAAAGTTGTGTTTGTCTTTGAATTCTTTTCAGCGCAAGTTGAGGAAGACTTGACCCATTTCACTTTCTATATAAACCTCGCAAAAAACCTCGGGTGTCAAGCAAATTTTAATGTTTTCTTGCAGATTTCAACACAATCTTAAAAAAAAGAATTGGTTTTGGCTTGTGTGCAGTTAGTTTTTGCAAAACCATGTTTTCACCGCGAGGTGAGCAAGACTTGACCCAACTCACTCTGTGGCCAAACCTGGCAGGAAACATCGGGTATCAAGCGAAATTTAGTGTTTCCTTAACGATTTCAACACAGTCTATTCAATAAAAGTGGTTTGAGCTTGTTTGTAGATAGTTTTTGCAAAACCGTCTTTTCAGCACGAGTTGAGCAAGACTTGACCCATTTCACTCTCTGGTTAAATTTCGCAAAAAACAACGGGTGTCGAGCAAATTTAAGTGTTTTATTACAGATTTCAGCACAATCTATTAAAATGAATTGGTTTTGGCTTCTCTGCAGATACTATTTGCAAAACCGCGTTTTCAGCCCGAGTTGAGCAAGACTTGCTGCCAATCACTCTCTGGCCTAGTTTCTCAGGAAACATCGGGTATCAAGCAAATTTTAGTATATTCTTAAAGATTTTAAGACAATCTATTGAAAAAAATTGGGTTTCCCTTCTCTGGAGATACTTTTTTTAAAACCGTGTTTTCAGCGCGAGTTGAGCAAGACTTGACTTATTTCACTCTCTGGCCATATTTCGCAGGAAATATAGGATATCATGCAACTTTGAGTGTTTTCTTACAGATTTCAGCACAATTCTATTAGAAAAAATTG